CTTAACCAACTGAGCCACCCAGGCACCCGAGTTGTAAGAATTCTTTTTATAGTCTAGATATGAACCCCTTATCAGGTGTGATTTTTTGCAAATGTTTTCTTCCATTTTGTAGGTTCCCTGAAAACTGTTGTGTCCTTTGGTGCACCTAAGTTTTTAATTTTGATATAGTCCAATTTGTCTATTTTTACATCTGTTGCCTGTGCTTTTGGTTTCATGTTCAGGAAATCCTTGCCATGTACTTCCTTTTTAAAAAAAAAGCACTCAGGGGCGCCTGGGTGGCTCAGTTGTTGAGCATCTGCCTTCGGCTCAGGTCATGATCCCAGGGTCCTGGGATCGAGCCCCGCTTTGGGCTCCTGCTCAGTGGGAAGCCTGCTTCTCCCTCTCCCACTCCCCCTGTTTGTGTTCCCTCTCTTGTTGTGTCTCTCTCTGTCAAATAAATAAAATCTTTAAAAAAAAAAAAAAAGGAAGCACCTCAGTAAAGTACACCAATCTTAAGCCTACAGCTTGATGAATTTTTACCTAAATACTCTTGTAATTGCCACCCAGAGTAAGATGGGGAGTGTTTGCAGTGTCCCAGAAAGTCCCTTGGGCCTCCTTCCCTCTCTATGGTTATCACTGTCGCCTGTCCCCTTATGAATTTTGCCTGTTCTGGAACTTCACACAAATGGAATCATATGGTGTATGACTTTGAGCCTGAGTGCTTCTATTTAACTTTACATCTTTGTTCACTCTATCTTCTAACCTTTCTTTTGAATTTAGTTTGGCTGTTCTATTTTTATTTTTCAAAAGCTCTTCCTTGTTCTCTGAAACTTCTCCATACCACCTTTTTGTTTTGTTTTGTTTGATGAGTTCTTTTATATCTTTAAGAAGTGGTCTAGGGGCACTTGGATAGCTCAGTCAGTTAAGCGTCCAACTCTTGATCTTAGCTCAGGTCTTGAACTCAGGGTGGTGAATTCAAGTCCCATCTTGAGCTCCATGCTGGGCGTGGAGCCTACTTAAAAAAAGAGAAGTGGTCTGTTTTTTTAAGTTTTCACTTGTTACCCATGTTGTCTATTTTCTGCAACTTTTTTAAAGACTTTATTTTTAAGTAATCTCTACACCCAGCGTTGACTTGAACCTACAACCCCGAGATCAAGAGTTGGGTGCTCCATAGAGTGAGTCAGCCAGGCACCCCTCCTGTAATTTTTCTGATCCCCAAATATTATGTTGGAGATTTTTTGTAAATGTCTGGCAAACCTTGGAAGTCACCATTACTAACAACATATGTCAACATCGTTCTAGTCATCATTCTTGACATTAATACAGGTAGGAAGTTTAGATAGATGGCTAAAAAAAATTTTTTTTTTTTTTTTTTTAGTATTTTACTTACTTAATTGACCCAGAGAGAGAGAGTGAGCACAAGCAGGGGAAACTGCAGGCAGAGAGAGAGGGAGAAGCAGGCTCCCCGCAGAGCAGGGAGCCCCATGCGGAGCTCAATTCTAGGACCCTGAGATCATGACCTGAGCCGAAGGCAGACACTAAACTGACTGAACCCCCTAGAAAAAAAAATTCTAGGGCGCCTGAGTGGCTCAGTTGGTTAAGTGACTGCCTTCGGCTCAGGTCATGATCCCAGAGTCCTGGGATCGAGTCCCACATCGGGCTCCCAGCTCAGCGGGGAGCCTGCTTCTCCCTCTGACCCTCTCCCTTCTCATGCTGTTTCTCTCTCTCTCTCAAATAAATAAATAAATAAAATCTTAAAAAACAAAGAAAAATTCTAAAGACAGGAAAATTCAGTACATACTAATTAAGAATATTGGAATAAATATGTGCAAATTCAACATAAGGAAAAGTAAGTGTATGTGAAGCAGCTGCTGGATTGTAGGCAATGGGTTCTTTTACCTAGTTTCTAAACAATTCTTCTGAAGCTAAAAGAATTACATTCATTCCATTTTTCAATTTTAGATCATATGTATCTGGCTTTTTACTATAATAAGGAAATTTATGTCCTGCTCTGCCTCCAAATATTTCAGTTTTTTTTTTAAGATTTTTTTTTTTCTTCAAGTAATCTCTGCACCCATTGTGGGGCTTGAACTTACAACTCCAAGATCAGGAGTCACATGCTCCCCCAATGGAGCCAGCCAGGTGCCCCATTTTAGTAGTATTTGTACTTCATTGAGGTTTATAAGTCTGTACTCTGTCACCATGATTGTCACAGCTAATAAGCTTTTGTTCTGTGTTTCAGTGGTTTGTGTGTTCACACCATTCTTTTCAGTGAGCTTTTCCATTCCTGAATCTTTTATTTTGATTCTTCTCTGGTAGCTGCATTCTATCAGGTGATAGCCTTAAGGAGGGCTTATAGCGGTTATTCTTACTTCAGAATGTCTGCCTTTGTATTGAAGGACAACCCATGTATAAAATCCTGAGGTCCCGTTTTCTTTCCTCCCGACGGTGGTAGACCTGCTGCTGTCATGGCCTCACAATGAGAGCCCCTCTGGCTCTTCTGTCATCACCTGTGGCCCCGTTTCACGGAGAAGTACATTTTTCTCCCAATCCCTAAGATCCTTTATATTGAGATCTTTAGGCTGTGAGTGAAGTCTGAGGGTGGCCTGATTTCCCCCCGCTTTGTAACCAACGTTTATGCTAGCACCTGTAGATTTTTCTTTATTCCTGAAGTACAATCTCTGAACTAACGTGTCTTGCTGTTGCATTGTTCCATGATCCTTTCATCCTGGGACAAGGGGCATTTTCGGACCTGCATTTAGTTTTTCTTTCTCTCTTTTCTTTTCTTTTCTTTCTTGTTTCTGAATATTTTTTGTTGCATGTGTAGCTTTTCTACTGAAGCAGTAGCAGTTGTGTTGGTCACATTTCTTCTCTCCTGTACTCACATCTTTCCTCTTTCCCTCTGCGTTCACCGCCATTCTCTCAAGCCTTTCCTTTCTACCTGTAATTAGGTTTCACCTGTCTTTTCTGTTCCTTGTGGCTTCTGCTGTTTTGCATTAGATGCATACTGGGGCTGTTTTGACCTCCACATGGTTTCCTCTTTCTCCTACCCCTGCCTCGCCCTTCTGTGCCAGGACCCTGGGCTCAGACCTCATGTTCAGTACTCTGCTGTTTGGTATTTTGTTCCATCTGATTCCTTGCCGCTGCTCCTTTGCTACCTGGTGGCTACCAGTTCTCAGACTCCAGCCTTCTTATGCCCTCTGCAAAGTACATGTTGCACATTCTGGTTGGAAATTATCTCAAATTCACCAGGTCATTTCTCCCAGATCAGCTCCATTTTGGCCTTGTTAGTTCTGTCTTTGGTGCTTTTCTTTCCATTATCCCTGCCTGCATTTTCCTTTCAAAGTGTTTTTCCTTTGCTGCTCCAAACCAGTTGTCTGGCTCCTCGTGTTGACTTGTTTCCCCGTTCTCATATCAGCAGGAATTCTTGTGGATCATGTTTTCTTGGTGCTACTCTTCACGGCTCTGTACGTTGATAAATTTCTGTAAGCTCTTAGGAGTGTGTGTGTGAGAGAGAGAGAGAGAGAGAGAGAGAGAGAATCCTTCTTTGGAAGTAGTGTGTTCTCTTAGTGTGATACTTATTTATGTATGTGTGTAAGTAAGCAGGCAAGCAAGCTCCACACGCAACTTGGGGCTCGAACTCATGACCCCGAGATCAAGAGTCACATGCCCAACCCACTGACTGAGCCAGCCAGGAGCCCCATGAAAATTTTTTTTTAAGATTTTATTTATTTATTTTAGAGAGAGAGAGGGTATGTGAGCAGGGGAAGGGGCAGAGGGAGAAGGAGAGAACCTCGAGCAGAGTCCGTGCTGAGCTTGGGGCCTGACACAAGGCTCGATCTCAGGATCCTGAGATCATGACCTGAGCTGAAATCAAGAGTTGGACGCTTAACTGACTGAGTCACCCACGAACCCCCCCAGTTTTTTTTAAGTAGGCTCAATGTCCAGCATTGATCCCAACAAGGGCTTGAACTCACGACCCCAAAATCAAGACCTGAGCTGATATCAAGAGTCAGATGCTTAACCAGCAGAGTCACCCAGGTGCCCCCACCCCCTCGCCCAGCCCCGTGACATATTTTTAAATGATTTTCAGTGATGGGCACCTAGGTGGCTCCGTCAGTTAAGCAAGCATCTGCTTTCGGCTCAGGTCATGATCCCAGGGTTCTGGGGTTGAGCCCCATAGCAGGGAGCCTGCTTCTCCCTCTGCCTGCCGCTCCCCCTGCTTGTGCTCTCTCTCTGTCAAATAAATAAATAAAATCTATAAAAAAAAACCTGATTTTCAGTGTCCAGTATCCTAGACAGTTATAATAAAGACTTTAAAGTATATTTTCCTGTTAAATCTGCTTTTTGCCATCAGCGGTCATTACTGTGGGGAAGAATGTGGCGGAAAGGTAGTGAACACTGGTTTTGCTGTTCCTAATTATTTTTTCAGCTTATTGGATAAAATCACTCCTGTAGCAACAGCAGCTACCCTGATATTACGTCATCATTCTCCTTCTATTATCATCTCGTTGCTTAACCTCTTTGTTTTACATTGAGCACTTAAGATATGCCAGGCTCTGTTCTAAGTATCTTACATGTACTAGTTTATTTAATCCTCCTCACAACAATCTTTTTTTTTTTTAAGATTTTATTTATTTATTTGAAAGAGAGAGCACACAAGCACAAGTAGGGACAAGGGACAGAGGGAGAGGGAGAAGCAGACTCCCTGCTGAGCAAGGAGCCCAATGTGGGGCTTGATCCCAGGACCCTGGGATCCTGACCTGAGCCGAAGGCAGACGCCTAACCGACTGAGTCACCCACCCAGGCGCCCCTCTTCACAACAGTCTTATCTTCATGATAAATGTGGTCATTATTACAGAGCGGTGAAGTTCCCTTACTCAGGTGGTAGAACTGGGATTTAAAGTCAGGTAGTCTTGCTCCAGAGTCTGGGCTCTATCCACTAAGCAAACCTTTAAATAGTGAGTATATCTCCTAACATTTCCTCTTTGTTAGAATCCTGAATATGTTGTGTCTTTCAGGTCTTTCTGTAGAATTTGGAACAATTCTGATTTACACATGTGAGAAGAGTTGCTGGCCTCAAAATCATCAGACTCCCATGGAGGAACTTTGTATCATACAAGAAGACCCAGATGAATCATTATTTAAGTAGAGCATTTCCTTTTATTTATATAAATTAAAGCAAATTTTAATGTCCAGATTTGTGTATTTTTACTTCATTTTGACTCACAGATTATTCACTCTTTGTTTTAAGTGCGGTCCTTTTTGCTTTCTGGCACCTGTGCTGGGGCTGCGGTGAGATTTAGAAGCTTCTGGCTGTGGACCGGTCTACCCTTCCAGGGCAAGTTGCTTGTCTCCACAGAGACAGCTCAGAATGTGGCTCCCCTCCAGCCCAGATTGCGGGTGTTCTCTGCACAAGCAACCTAATGGGCTTTGTCAGACGGAGAGTGGCTGAAGAGCCAAGGGCAGCGGTCAGCCTCTTACCCCACCTCTGCTGCCTCCGTACTTCACTGCGCTCTGTTGCCGTCCCTGGATGCTGACCGAACCACTCGGCCCACCCCGGCTTCTTGAGGCTCCCACCCTGATATTTAGCTAGGGCCACCTAGCTGTTTAGACCTGCCCCGTGTTCTCCCTACTCACGGTCCCCACCCTCACCCTGTCCCACCTTTTGCCCCTGCAGTATCACAGCAAAGGGGTCCCTTCTCTATTCTGGACATTGTCCCTTCTTCCAGGTGGTCACTTTTCCAATCTCCCCTTTCTCCTTTTGGTTTTTATGTTAACCCCTTCCATTCTGCTACACTTTGAAGCAGTCTGAAAACACGCCCACCAACTGTGTACAGACTTGCTTTTTGCCTGCATAGATAAGGAAACTGCTATAAACAATTTGATTCGCTACCCTGGCAAATAACACATTAGGGTCCAGATTATCATGAGGAGGGGTTCTCCTGGGCAGCGTGTGACTGGTGGGAACACCACCTGATCCTGCCTCCTGGGGCACCCGAGGGAAAGTGGCTGGCTGTGTACAAACTGAACTTGCTGGTCAGTGAGGCTTTAGGCACGTAGGGGAGGAAGAATAATCTTCTCTTTACCCTTCTAGGTACTTAGCTGAGATGCCCCCCCTATAAGAAAAGACAGATTGACAGGTGAAAAACAGAAGTTTATGTATACCTCCTATATATAGATGGGAGATACCCAGAAAAACTGAGTAACTCCTTGAAACGTCCTAAGCTATTACTTCAAATACCACCTTCCGCTGAAGATAAAGATATGTGGGGTGCATGGAACCAGTCACAGGAAGTTACCAGGCAAAGCACAGCAAACGAGGGTAAGGTTGTTATATATTGTCAGGGAAACAGGATAATGAGAAAATAAGTCCCGTGTGAACCCCTTTAAACGTAAAACTGCAGGGGCACCTGGCTCGCTCAGTCAGAAGAGCATGCATGCGGCTTGAGTTCTGGCCTCACACTGGGAGTAGGGATGACTTAAAGGACAGACAAAGGCCATCGAGGGCCCCAAGGAGTGGGATTAGGTCTGGGTGGGACTTGGAGCTTTCACTTCCTGCCCTCGGATCCTATTTGAATTTGTTAAGGTGGGCAAGCATTTTACACTTTAGACTCAAAACTCACGCACACAAATCCAAATCCACAAAGAGAAGCAAAGGCCCTCAGAATTAGGTAACAGCCCAGACGGGTCTAGGGGAAGAGAAAGGAGGCAGGAGAGAAGCCAAGGAAGGTGGCTCCCATTCCCTGAGTGTCCAGAGGGATAAGTAATATCAGCATCCTGGGAAGGGCCTCCTTTAAATTTAACCGCAAGGATGGGGTCCTTGTAAAAGTCAGCCCTCTGTAGGGAAGGAACATCAGCAGCCCGGCTGTGTGCAGGGGTTCCCTCCCCACCCCCCAGGGAGTACTCCAGCACTTCCTGCACTCATGCCTCAGGACAGCAGCCTGAGTATTCCTCAGAGACTAGAACAGCTTGTTGTGCGGTTGGTGAACCAAGCAGCTGATGAGAAAGACCACAGAAGTCAAAAGCATTTTCCTCTGTTTTCTATCTTTACCTTTTTTCTTTTAAGAATTTTTTCTTACTGAGGAGCGCCTGGGGGGCTCAGATGGTTAAGCGTCTGCCTTCCGCTCAGGTCATGATCCCAGGGTCCTGGGATCGAGCCCTGCATCGGGCTCCCTGCTCGGCGGGGAGCCTGCTTCTCCCGCTGCTCATGCTCTCTCTCTTTCTCTTTGTGTCGCGAATGAATAAAAAAAAAAAAAATTTTTTTTTCTTACTGAATATATTTGACATATAATATTGTGTAAATTTAAAGTGTGCAATATGTTAACTTCATACATTTACATATTGTGATATGATTGCTGTTGTAGCAATATTTAGTATGTTAAAAAACAAAATTCAGCTGATTGAGTTTGAAGATCTAACTGGCTTTATTCAATGATTCATGATTCTGACAGCATCCCATCTAGCAAGTAGAAAGGAGTTCTGAGGTGTTCAAAATGGGAGGTGTTTACTGGCAGAAGGATGGTGGGACAGGAAGTTAGAAGAGTAGATTATTTCAGGCAAGGTTACCTAACCTTACAAGGGTCTTATCAGGCAGATTAAATCACTAGTGCTGACCAGGAAATTCCAGACTGATTGGTTTAAAATTCCACTCCTGAGAAAGGCTGAAACTGCAATGAGGTTAGGTATTAACCTTGGTTTAGCACAAGTGACTCCATTTTTAGCCTTTTCTTTCTTTTTTACAAGCACCTCGATCACATTACATAATTATCTTCCTTTTAGTGTTTGGGATAATTTTTTCTGATTTCAGAATTAGCATTTTCTTTGAGGAGCATGAGCATCTGGAAATACAGAAAAGCCTAAACAAGAAATAAAAATTATCCACAATTCCATTACACACAGATACACAAAATATTAACTGTGGTTTTCTTCCTGCTTTTTAATATATTTTTGTTTTTACAAAATTTAATCTTACAAATAGTTTTGTATCTTTTTTTTTAAGATTTTCTATTTATTTACTTGACAGAGAGAGAGAGAGAGACAGCGAGAGAGGGAACACAAGCAGGGGAAGTGGGAAAGGGAGAAGCAGGCTTCCTGCAGAGCAGGGAACTCGGTGCGGGGCTCGATGCGGGGCTCGATCCCAGGACCCTGAGACCATGACCTGAGCCCAAGGCAGTCGCTTAACCGACTGAGCCACCCAGGTGCCCCAATAGTTTTGTATCTTTTATTTAATGTTATATTGTGAGAATTTTTGAATCATATTTCCAAATTACCCTTGTTTAAAAAAAAAAAAAAAAAAAGACAAGCCCCAAATGGAGTTGCTTAGGCTAAGTCTCGCATCACCAAGCAGAGACTTACAGTTAGGGTTCTCCCAGAAATGGAATTTTAAACCAGTCCATCAGGAATTGCCTGATTAGGGGTGCCTGGCTGGCTCAGTCTGATGAGTGTGTGATTCTTGATCTAAGGGTTGTGAGTTTGAGCCCCACATTGTGTGTAGAGATTACTTAAATATTTAAAAAATTAAAAAGGTAATCTACTGATAATCCCCTAAAGTAACCTTGTAATAACCAATCCACTTTTGTATAATTTCCTTGCTCCTTCTCTCTTCCAGCCATGAAAGTCTTTCATTTTGTACAGCTCCTCAGAGCTTTTTTATCTCCTAGACTGAATGCTGCCCAATTCTAATCGAGTTTTGCCCAAATAAAATTTTTTAGATATGCCTCAGTTTGTCTTATAACACTCTCTAGAAAAGCTTTGCTTTAGAATCCTTACTTACAGCTACGGGAATGCTTGTTTTCCCATCTCTCGACCACACGGAATGTTGCACTTTTTTGTTTGCTGGCTTCATAAGTGAAAATGATTTAAGTACTATTTTACATTTCTTTGTTTAAATTTTATGTTTATTGCTCATATTTATTTTCTTTGTGAGTGCCGCTTCACATCCTTGGCCTGTATTTGTTGTTTGGGTGGTATCTGTTTTCTTGTTAATTTGTAAGAGCTCTTTACATACAGGGACATCTATTTTCTAAGCTGTAAGCCTTGGCTGCGAGTTCAAACCCCAGGCTAAAAGGTGGCCCTTAGGTTTCCAAAAGCCAGACAGCGGTTCTTTGCGCGTGAAAAACACGGCCGGCTGGAATACGGCGGGAGGTGTGACAGCTCCTTCGCGCAAAGCCCACCGTGGACCCAGGCAGTTCACTCCACAGGTCCCGGGCGTCGCCCGCTCGGCGCCAACTGGCGGCCCGCAGTGCGCAGGAACGGAAGCTGGGCCGCCCTTCCCCCACCTGCTTCCGGTCGCGGCTCAGTTCTCGCGCCTCCGCCTCCGCCGCGGCTCGTGGTCGTCCCGCCATGGCACTGTCGCGGGGACTGCCCCGGGAGCTGGCCGAGGCCGTGGCCGGGGGCCGGGTGCTGGTGGTGGGCGCGGGTGGCATCGGCTGCGAGCTCCTCAAGAACCTCGTGCTCACCGGCTTCTCCCACATCGACCTGGTGAGGGCCAGGCGTGCGCGCGGGCTGAATGGCGGGCGGCATTGCCGGGGCCGGGGGCTCGGGCTCCGGAGGTCCGGACCAGAGTTGAGGTGGCGGGGGTGGCGGCAGCAGGCCTGGAAGCCCCGAGGTCGTGGCTGCCTGCGGAGAGGGCGCTCTTCGGCGGGGCTGGAGCGGGCCTCCCTGCACGCCCGGTCCGCTCGGGACGCCAGAGAGGCCGCGGGCCGGGGTCTTCCGGGCGTCGCGTCGCGCGGCCGCCCCCTGCGTCCCTAGCAGCGCCAATTTGTGGCGGCTGTAGGCTGTGGGAGCGGCCTCGTGTCTTTTCGCTTCAGAGCAGTTCCCCAGCTTTAGTGGGAGGCAGAGGTGATTGTTTGAGTCTCGTGGATGTTGTGACTTCATTTTGGCGGTCTCCCTTAACTCAGAAATACTGGTCCAGAGCAGAGGGTGGCGGTAATAGGAGCCAGTACATACTGAGCGCTTGTCCCGAGCCCGGCGCAGTTCTGAGCGGTTAACTTGCATTAACGCATCTAATCTTCGCTACCTCCGTAAGGTTGCAAACGCCATTTTCATCCCACTTTTTTTAACATGAGAAGAAAAGTGAGATTTAGAGGGGTTTTAGTAACTTACTTGGGTCTCGAAGCAACTGGCAGGACTCCTTTGGGACTCGCGCTCCTCTGTTGTGGGTACAATCTGCGTGACTGTCATTGTTATCTCCGTA